GTCAGGAATGTCCAGATGGGAGGGAGGCAGGGGGCAAGGTATGTACCAAGGGCTCACCTTAAGGTTACTTAGACTAGGCAAAGTCATAGACAGAAGTAGAGGCTACCAGGGGCTGGGGGGGCAGGGAATGGGGGACTATTATTTAATGGGTATAGAGTTTCCACTTGGAATGATGAAAAAGTTATAGAAATGGACAGGGATGATGGTCACACAGCATTGTGAATATACTTAATGCCACTGAACTACACATTTAAAAATGGTTAAAATGGTGAATTATGTGTTATGTATATTTTACTACAATAAAAAATACAGTAGAAAAAAAATAACCAATACACAATAGTAAAACAAAATATAAAATACCTAGAATTAAACAAACAAAAACTCAACCGATCCATATGATGAAAATAAGTATAAAATATGGCTGGAATATATTAAAGAAGGCTGGAATATTTTGAGAGATACAGAAACTTATCATTTTCCTGAATGTGGAGATTCAATATTGCAAAGATGTCCATTTTTGCCAAGTAAATCTATAAATTCTTTGCAATCAGATGAAGTTGGTGCTTTTTACGGAGACACATTCATGTACACAGATACCTAGACATCATACATACCTTTATTTCTAGGGGCATAACGAAACTCTAGACAGTAAAGGGGGATGGAGGTTCCTGCTCAGACTATCATCTTAAACCAAACTCTGAAAAACCTTTTCTACTTTTGGGTGAAGGGAGTCAAAAAAAGAAACAAGCAAAAACCAGCCCAAAGCTGACTAGGTGCGTAGAGTCCATTTCACCATGTGTCTTTTCTCCGGAAGGGGAAGCCTCCCTCTACTGCCAAGGAAACGTCCTGCAGACACCGAAGGGGGCGGGTCCCTCTTTGGCCCCAGAGACAAGGGCGAGTCTGAGAGCGGCAGACCCCTCCCTCCCCCTGGGCTGCTCTAGGAGCCCAGAGAGGTGCAGCTGATGGAAGAGCCCCTGCTAAGCCTAACAGAGACGCAGGAAGAGACCTCCTGCCCAGTGTCTGCAGGGTAGAGGGGCCATTCTCACACCTGGAGGGCCCTGGACCCCCGTGCAGGCCTGGCCAGCAGAGTCTCAGGCGAGAGGAGCCCTGACCTGGGAGCGGCCGGGCTGTCCTGAATTAGGAAGAGAAGGAAACAGCCCCCCATCATCGCCCAGCACCCTTCCTTCTTGCTCTTGGTCTTTCCCCTTCTGTGCCTTTTCTACACTCATTCACTCTTTCAACAAATATTTATTGAGCTCTTCTGACATGCACCAGGCACTACATCGGGCACCTGGGGCTCTGAGAATTTAGGCATCAACCGAAAGGACCGGAGCCATAACTGCTGCTTCTCTCAACTTCTTTCAGGAAGATTTGTGTTTTAAGAGACCTGAGAGAGGGGGCAATGTTTAACCCAAAAGTTATCACTTCTCTAATAAAGAACTTTCACATATTTATCACTATCTATTGGGAAAGAGAAAATACTTTTGCCAGCAAAATCCTTTCCATTATTCCTCATATCAACAATAGATAGGCTGCAGTTCAAAAAAAAAAAAGCCTCCAAAACACATTTTCTCATTTCACTATGCAGAGCAGAGTTGCCATAGTGGGATGACAATGACAGAAGATCTGTGAAGTACAAGGAAGGAGTGTGAGGCCTTCCGACCCTTTAGAACCATCTCAACCTGTAAATCTCCTGTCTCCCGTATGAGCTTTATAACATATATTAAATCAAATATTTATGTAGAGAATTTATGAATAAATACAGAAGCAAAACTGGAGTGCATGCTCGAAAATGTTTCACTGACAGGAAAGCGTGATAAGAAGTCTTGGAGATCCCTGAGTGTCACAAGCAGTCCAGGCTGTTGTGCGTGACGCCAGTCCCGGTAGCTGGAGTCTTGGCAGGCTCCGTGTTCTCAGACTAAGGTCCAGTTCAGTGAACTCCGGGTCATTTCGTCCCACTGCTATAGACAGAGGGGAATTCTGCTAGAACAGTGAGGGAAATAAGGGAGTCAGAAATAATACAGACTGGAGGGAGAATTGCTCTTCCAGGTCACTGGCTCATTCATGAGCAGCATCCCAGGACCTAAAAATAGAAGAACCATCTGCAGTTCGTCTCCTGGAGCTGCGGCCTGGATGAGGCCCAGGACAGACCCCCCGGACTAGTGTCCATGACGACAGCACTGGCCTCTCAGGTGACCTCAGCAGGTAATGGCCAGGGCCCTGGCAGTCAAACAAGAGAACCAAGAATAAGCAGGGACCTTAGCTGCTTAACAAAGAGGTGGCTCTTGCTTTTTCTCTCAGAGGCTGGCAGCGATGCAGGAAAAGGAAAGGAGGAGGCTGCCAGAGGGCTTCAGGAGCCAGAGGGGGTCTGTTCTCAAAGGGTGTCTTCAGGACTAGGTGAATGCTCAACACCATTTCTGTTTCTTATCAAGATGTTTCTTTGGGCCCTCTGAGTCTTGACTTAGGTATTCAAAAACGCTACAGGAGAGAAAAGAGGGAGAGTTTATCAGAGCGAGCTCTGATCTGGGTTCTGAGGAGACTCATATCTGACCAGCTTCCCTAAATGGAGATTGTTGTTCAGGAGCGAAGGGAAGGCCCTGGCTGCGTTCTGGAAGCATCTTTGGGTCTCTTCTTTGTGCGAATCCAGGAGGAACAGAGAGGAAAGAAATCATAACCCACCATCTCCCTTTCTTGGAAGAAAGGCAAGAAGTAGGTGAGGAGATGGAGCAGAAGGGAATGAAAACCAGCTCTTGCCCACACTGAGAAAAGAGAGAGGAGTCAAGATGCCCACAGAGGAGCAGATGCTCATAAGCAGAGTTTCTTCCGTCATGTCGTGTCTATTTCCTCATCTCCCAAACTCCCAAGCTCTGATTCTTTCATTCCTTCTGGACCTGACCTTCACCCTTATCTTGCTCATTTCCCTAAGGGGTCTTTTAAGCAGATATTTAGATTCTCTTGGCATTTTGAATCACATCATCTAGAAATAAAGAGAGCTTTGTATTTCTTTCCAATCCCTTACCTCTTATTTCTTTTTCTTGTTTTATTGCATTGGCCATAGAATATCAATGATAGTGGTCCTTGTCGTATTCCTGTTTTTAATGGGAATACTTCTATAACCTCACCAGTAAGTGTGATGTTTGCTATAGGTCTTTTAGAGATATCTTTGATCATGTTACAAAAGCTCATATCCCTTGTCTAATATCAATCTACTAAGTTTTTTTAACCTTGAAAGAGTGTTGAATTTTGTCAAATGCTTTTTTTTGCAGCTACTTAGATGATCCAATTTTTCCCTTAATCTATGAAAACAAGGTGTTACATAAGTAGATTTTCTAAGCAAAAGTGGCTTACAGATCTTTCAGAAAGTCCTGTTTTACCTCACCACATCCCAGCAATGCAACTGGTCAGTTCCAACTCTATTGGACTAAATTAATTCTGCCAAAGAACAACTGGATTCTGACGTTTTCGATTTTACGTATTTTTATTATTCATGATATGGATGTGAGTCCTGAAAGTAGCTAACTTTACAATCTTTGGAAACGTTTGCCATCCCTCTGAGACCTCAGATCCCTCATCTTTAAAGAACAGGGTTGGGACTAGATCTCTAAGAGTGCTCCTGGCCCTAACATCCTATGGGGCTGGGTGCCAAGGCCTTAAGCAACGACCAGTGAGCAAAACAGAGAGGGGAGCTCCTTGAGCTCTGAATGAATGCTCCCAGGTTCTCGGAGGGGCATCCGTGCTCTGGAGAGGGGCCGAGTGAGTTTAGTCCCATCCTCCTCACGTGCATTTATAGTCTGGTTATCTTGGCCTCTTTGCTGTTTACTATAATTACAATAAATGAATAAACTTAAAACACTGTAGTTTTCTCACGGGTAGATATAGGCTGAACTGGAAATTTTCAAGTATTGCTATTTACAAAACACTATAAATCATGGGTCAATTCTTCATTTACACTGCATGGGTCAAAAGCAAAATGAAATGACATGAAATGACAAGCACTGTTGGCAGAAATATTCTTTGGATTAGTTGAAATGATTTGGGGACCTACAAGGAAATTATCTCAGAGTTTAACATTTATTTCAGTTATATCTGCCCTTAAACTAGAAATACAAAATTCATTAGATTTTTTAGATGCCTACATATTTCAACTAGATTATCAATCACTGGAACTACTTCACAATGAAAGAAATAAGTTCAAATCAATCAATTTTTTTAAGTTGCTCTCCTTCTTCAGTTGTAGGAATCTGTACCTTTGGTACAGTTATTGCTTAGATTCTAGGCTAATAAAATATGTGCTAATGTGTTTGCATATGTTCATACACGATGTGCATGTGCCTCCCCCTGATACAGCCCAACATTTACTGAATAACTACACCAACATTCTTCAGTACTTTGAATCAGTTAAAGGTCTATTAGTAAATTGCTCTAAATTCCACACTTTTTTTATCTTCATGATTTCTGTACTCAAATGACAAAAGTAACTTGAGCACATTTTCAACAATTCACGTTGTAAGCTACAACTTTACAAAGAATTTATATTTCAAATGTTTTCATATTGTACCCCATAGGTACCAGAAGCTAATTTTCAACCTGCATTACACCGAGTTTACCCTTAAGGCAAAAATCTGAACATCAGAAAAAATGTTAACTTCCAAAATCCATTAAGATTCCTAATTTCCTTTTCCTTTTTAAAAACTCAATTTAAAATGTGTTCTAGAATATGCCCAGTGACAAGAATATCCCTAAGGACAAAAAGAACTTGACCTGCTTGGGGTGCCATAAGAAAATACCACAGACTGGGTGGCTTCAAAATCAGAAATTCGGTTCTCACAGTTCTGGGAGTCCAAGATCAAGGTCTGCAGGGCTCCATTTCTGGTGAGAACACTTGTGCTGTGTCCTCACAAGGCAGAGAGAGGAAGGGAACAAGCCCTCTGTCTCTTCTTATAAGGGCACTAACCCCAGCATGCGGCCCCTCCCTCGTGAATTCCCCTAATGCTCATTACCTCCCAAGGGCTCATCTCCAGACACCATCACGGGGAGTCAGAGCTTCAACTCATGAATCAGGAGGTGGGCAGCAGGACACGAACACCCAGCCTATACAGCAACTGGAAAAAAATGAAAATGTTTTAATAATCATATTGTTGGTATGATTGTTTGCATTGTTATTCTGAGACTGTTGAGGGATAAAACAAATGAATAATTTTCTTGATGTCATTAGGAACCAGTATTTTCAGCATAGAAGAAAGGAGACATAGATGTAAGATCAAAACATTTAACTGAAAAGCTTGTAGTCCTTAAAAACTTTTGTTCTGCAAAAGATAATGCCAATGAGAAGACAAGCCACAGACTGGGAGAGAGTATCGGTAAAAGGCATATTTGATAAAAGACTATTATCCAAAATATACAAAGAACTCTTCAAACTCAACAATAAGAAAACAAACTAGATTAAAACAAGCGCCAAAGACCTTAATAGCAGATATACAGATAACAAAGAAGCATATGAAAACAAAACATGCCTGCCATCATCTGTCAGCAGAAAAATGCAAATTCAAACAATGGGACACCACACTACACACTGATTAGAATAACAAAAATCCAGAACACTGATAGTACCAAATGCTAACAAGGACATGGAGCGACAGAAATTCTCATTCCCCGCTTGTGAGAGTGCAGAAAGGTACAGCTACTTTGGAAGAGTTTGGCAGTTTGTGATAAAACTAAACATACTCTGACCATATTACCCAGCAACTCCCACTCTCTGGTATTTCACCGAAGGAGTTGAACTTGTCATACAAAACCCTGAACACAAGGATTTATACAGCTGTATTTATGAATGCCAACACTTGGAAGCAACCAAGATGGCGTTCAGTGGGTGAACTGTGGTATGTCCACGCAAGGGAATATGATTCAGCACTAAAAAGGAATAAGCTATGAAGCCATGAAAAACATGGAGGAACATTAAATGTATATTATTAAGTGAAAGAAAAGCTACATATAGTATGATTCCAACTACCTGGCGTTCTGGAAAAGCAAAATCATGGATATGGTTTTTAAGAAATCCGTGCTTACCAGTGGATGGCGTGCGGGGGGATGAACAGACAGAGAACAGAGGATTCTCCAGGGCAGTGGAAACACTTTGCGTGACGCTATGATAATGGATACGTGACATGACAGTTTGTCCAAATCCATAAAATGTACAACATGAAGAGTTAGCCTGAAAGTAAGCTATGGACATTGGAGTAATTACAATGTGTAAATATTAGTTCATCAATTTTAACAAACGTACCCTCCAGTGAGGGCTGCTGATAGAGGAGGCTCTGCATTCTTGGGGGCAGGGAGCATATGGGAAATCTAAAAAACACAATCTTAAATAAAACCTTTGGGGTTCTGAATTTGAATTGAAAGTACCAATATGAACTAATGATTTTTAAAAAAATATTTCCTAGCTCTGCCCACTGAAAAGATCCGAAATCAATAACTAAGCCCATAGTAGTGAGTACCCCTAGCACCAGATTATGGTATTTAAAATTATTTCTCACTAAAATGAAGTAGGGGTCCAAAGAGAAATGGCTGATTCTAGGTCTTGGGCAGAAAATTTGCAAGATGAACCTAGGACATCTTGTCTTACCAGAAATCTAGCAGAAACTGAGGCCATGTCAAGAAAACACGGAGCCAACTTGAGGCTCCCGTGGGGCAAAAGACGGAACAATGTATTCCCTTCTGATATTTTTCCAATATCTTTTATATGTATGTACACCATTTTGCATCCTGTTTTGTTCGTTTCACATTTCAGTCATCCAGCAAATGAATGTATGCAACAGTAGCTGTTGAATAAATGAATGAGTCATATTTTTATGCTCATAGTCTTTGCATCCACCTTGTTAACAGCTGCAAAATGCTTCACTAGTGAATTACATGATTTACCCAAGTTCAGCATAACAGGCTGTGGAGCCTGACATGAGTTCCGATCTCAACATGTAACTTACTTGCTACATGACCTTGGGCAAAATACTTAAATTCATTAAACATTGGTTTTCTACTTTCTAAAGTGGGCCTAACAATAGCATTTAACTCACAAGTTTTCTATAAGGAGAAAATGAGCTAATAGATGTAAAGCCCTGAGCCTACTAGACAGTAAGCACCCAATAAATGTTCTATGTTATTGATAAAATTGTTACTTCTTTCACTCTTATTAATAACACCAGGGTAAATATCTACACAAATATAATTTCTCCGGTATTTTGGATTATTTCCTCAGGCTAGAATTCTAGAAAGGGAATTACTAGACAAACGAAACAGATGAGCTCTTGTGGGCACCTGTCACACTTGCCGAACTGCATTCCCAAGGATCGTACCGATTTTCAAGGCCACGTGCTTCACCACCCTTGCCAGCATAAGCTATTATTTTAATATTATTTAATAGAAACCTTCTATATTTTAGGACTTTTTCCTTTTTAACACTGTCAGATTCATAAGAACATTTAATGTGCATGCACCCAAAATCACTGTATTTTCTCTTCCTTTTCTTTTTTTTGCTTGGATTTCCTTTGGGCTTGGGTGGTCCGGTGCTCTGAGGAAAAGCAGAAAGAGGAACAGCTTTAGGAGGAAGCTTGGAAGTTGAGATTTAGCCAAGTCGGGTTTGAGGTACCTGTGGGAGTTCTAGATGGAGATGTCCAGGAGATACACAGTTCTAGAACTCCAGAGAGAGATCTGGGCTAAAGACGTAAATCCTGAGGTTACTGTTGCACGTGATCACTATAAATTCTGAGGTTGTCACTGGTAACCGTGGAAACCGTGAGTCTAGGTGAGCTTGCTTAGGAAGCACAGCGAGACGAAGAGAGCAGAACAGGACAAACCCTCACATTCCTACCAAACACTTCTAAGGATCTGCAGAATTTCCAATTACAGAAACTCATCTTCAAAATCACAGAGTGAGTGATTAAACTCAAAACCGTGGGGTCCCTTTAGGGGACTAGAGTGAGGGGACAGCACTGGGGTTAAATGAGACTTTGGCCTTTTCAGCAACATTCTTTTCTCTTTGTGATAAGGAAAATACATTTTTGTGTAACTTTAAGAATCAAAAATGAAATTTCTTAACTGGACAGGTGGATTGCAGAACCCAAGGGGGAGCATATGGAGTCTTACACGTAAACAGTAAGCTTGTTTCGTGTGGCCCCAGAAAGGGGACTCCAGGGACTGTGTCCAGAGACCGGCAGTCGGTCAGGCACAGTGGACGGAGGATGAATGAGGCTCCCAGGCTGAAAGAAACAAAGCAAGATGGTTCTGGATGCCTCCGCCGAAATCTGTTCCAGAACTGGAGGCAGAATCCTGTTCTGAAGATGGAAGCGGTCAGCTCAGGTGCCTCAGTCCACGGGGACCGGGCCACACCGCTCAGCACACAAAGGGCTTCATTGTCTTAATCTAGGGCCAGGGTGAGAAATTCAGCTGCATGCCAGTCATATGATGGTTTCGCTGACATCAAACAATAAATGTTCTATGTTATTGATAAAATGGTTACCTCTTTCACTCTTATTAATAACACAAATATAATTCCCCCGGTATTCTGGATTATTTCCTCAGGCTGGAATTCTAGAAAGGGGATTACTAGGTCAAACGAAATAGATGAGCACTTGTGGACTGAGAACAAGCCTGCACCTGCCCGGGCCGGTTCTGGCCAGACGCGTTCCAGACCTTCCTCGGACCCTCGCGACCCTTTAAGCAGACACTGCTCTTTGCGGAGGAGCCGGAGGCTCTGAGGGGTCAGCTCCTCACTTGGGCTCACATACCCCTGAGCGACCGTCCTGGGTTCACGCCCAGGGCCTCCCAGCTCCAGTGACGCGGTCCCTCCGCGAGCAGCACACACGGACCAAAATTGAACAGGGCTCAAAAGTGAGTTGAGAGCATTCATGACCATTTGCTCTTTGAGGATGAACTTCTATACTGCTCTGTCCGTGTTCTGCTCTGGGGCCTTGCTGCTGCTTCCCTCAGACCAGCACCACGGGCATGACCTAGAAGCTCGTTAAAAACGCAGGATCTTGGGTCCTACCCAATCAGACCCTCGTGTTAACCAGACACCCAGGTAATTCTTATGCACTTTAAAGCAGAGAAGGACAGCTTCCGTGATTGAAACTTGAAGAGTTCAGAATGACATAAATGATTACATTCCATTTTAAATAAGTAAATTTTACATTATTAATCGATGCAAGCCTCTTGGGGCGAGCATTGTGGCCTGCTGTTCTCCCTCTTCATGAGTTTTGTATTAGTGAATTAAATTTTTTAGTTTGGCAAAAACTTTCAGGTAGACTTCACCTAGCCCACAGGCTGCAGGTTAAACAGACAATTTAGCTCTTGGTCTCCTGTTTGAGTCTCCAGGAAACTGAATCTTCTAATTAAGACTTAGAAAGTACAAGCTTCCCATCCTAGTTCCCAAGGATTCCTAATTCTGTGATGTCCGGCCCTCCCAACCCGCCCTGGAGGTGAACTTGCTCGCCCAATTTTAGGAGCTAATTGTCCCAACTCAAACCCGTGTGCCCCTCAACGCTGCCCCAACCTCTGGTGGTAGAACGGCCAATAGATACAGGAGAAAGTGATGTGAGCCTCTTCCAACCTGGGCCCCAGCAGGTCCCACGCCACATGTCTATCTGAGGGGCCTGGCAGCAGCACAAATAGAAAGAGCCTGACAGGTCCCTGTGTCACCAAGTGGAGGCGAGATACCCAATAGTGTAATCCGACCTGATCAGCATAAAACTTTATGTCAATGAGCTACTGAGATCTGAGGGTTCTTACAGTGGCTAGTGTTAACTACAGTGACTAGACAGCTCTAACATACAGTCCACGCTGGAATCCAGCCCAAGAAGCCAGAAAGGTGAGGTTTTTCTAAGCATTTCAGACAAAAGTAAGTAGAAGTAATTGCTTCTATGTTACTCAGGGTCACTCCAACATACAGAAGGACCTTTTGCCCAAAAATAATGTTTAAAACCATGTTGATTTTTGTATTACGTGTATAAATTTGTTTCACAACTGGTGAATTAAAGTTCTTCCTTACAATAGAGATGAAAATCGTATCTGAGGTTAGAGAATCATCGATAACACAAGCAATT